TTCTGAGATGGCTTCACTGTATAAATTGAATAACAAGGGTGATAAAATACACCCTTGGCGGACCCCACGGCGAATCTGGATATCCTTGGTCAGTTCGTTTTCAACTTTCACTTTTGCTGTTTGATTCCAATAGAGGTTACAGATGATTCTAATGTCTCTACTGTCTATGTTTTTATTTAATAAAATTTTTTTAAGTCGATTATGCTGCACTCTGTCAAATGCCTTCTCAAAATCAATGAAACAGGCATATACTTCCTGATTAATATCTAAGCATCTCTGCGAAAGAACACTTACTGCAAACAGTGCATCTCGTGTTCCCAGACCTTTCCTAAATCCCATTTGTGTATTACTTATGCCTTCATCTAATTTCTTATGTATTCTATTGTGAATTACTTTTAAAAACAATTTCAAGACATGACTCATTAAGGCTATGGTGCGATGTTCATTGCACTCCTTTGCATTGGCTTTTTTGGGAAGCAGTGTGAATGTTGATTGGAGCCATTCTTTAGGTATTATACCTGTTCTATATATGGTATTGAATAGATCCAAAAGAAGATCAATAGATTCAGTATTCACAATTTTAAGTAATTCGATAGGAACTTCATCAGACCCGGGAGATTTACCATCTTTAGCTTGTTTCATTGCATATTCAATTTCTTCTCGTATAATGTCAGGCCCAGTATCATCCTTAAATTCTTTTGGTGCTTCTGTTCTTTCTTTGTCTTCAAATAGTTGTGCTATATATTGTGTCCATCTCTGCATTTTTTGGTTTATATCTGTTATAAGTGCACCCCTTTCATCTCTTAGTTGCCTAGTTTGAAGTGTTTTTCTCATTCCTGTTAATTCACTAATTCTTTTATGCATGTTAAAAAAGTCATATTTTTTCTCAATTTCTTCTAGTTCTTGGCTCTGCTCATGTAACATTCTGAAACTGAACTGTCTTTAATGTTGACCAAAAAAGATAAAACTGCTAGGCAAACAAGCATTTCCGTGTAAAATGTGCAGTGAATATGAATTATATCAAAAGGATGTTCTGTAACTAATTTCTTATCAATACTGCAAAGAACTTTAAAATTAGATGATAGAAAACTGTAAGAAGCTGATTTAAAAAACAAACTCTAACAGAAAATATACGAAAACTTTGATAAATTAGGTACTAACACTTACGAGATAAATCAACAATGAGAAACATTAAAAAACTGCCTCCTCGTTCTATGCAAAGAGATAATAAAAGAACCGGTAAGAAAGAGAGACAAATAGATGATCGATGAAATGCTAGGTAGGATGGACCAAAAAAAGACAAGCCAAGAGGCCAAAGGAAAATGTAAAGAGATAGAAGATCTTCAGAACAAATATGACCTATTTAACCTACATAAAAAGGTTAAAGAAATGGCAGGGCTGCAAAAAAAGTAAAAAAACCAAAACTCTTTTACCACTCTTCGACGACGAAAGAGGAAACCTACAAGACATGGTTTTCAAGGACAGAGAAACAAGTATAGAAATTACAAAGGAAGAAATATTGTATGCACTAAAGAACTCCAGAAACGAAAAAAGCCCAAGGAAAGATTAATCGTATATTCATATCCTTAAAATTATAGGAAATAAGTACATGGACGTTTTCTTATAGCTATTTAATGAAATTTATCAGTCGTGTGGCATAACCAATGAATGGTTATGCTACCTAAACATTTATTTGTATCCAAAAAAAAATGGTAGAAAATGCACCGACCACTGCACCATGGGCCTGATGCCTCTCACACTTAAAATATTTTTAAAGATCATCCATAAACGCATTTACTGAATACTTGATATTGAAGAAACCCAATTTGGGTTCCGTAGAGGCGTAAGTACCCATGAAGGTCTCTTTGCATTCGACGTACTAATCCCGAGATGTTTGGATGTGAACCAAGATATGTAAGTCTGTTAAATAGATTACAACAAGGCTTTCGATAATGTCCGCCACAAAGAGCTAATGGACGTCCTCAAAGCAAAACAATTACAATACAATGACCTTCGAATTATAACAAATCTATACTATAAACAGCAGGCATACATACGCATTAATGAACACACATCAGAAGAGTTTGAAATTAAAAGATGAGTGCGACAGGGGTGTGTATTGTCACCAGTACTATTCAATGTATACTCTGAAGAAATTATGAAAAGAACTCTTGAGGGAAAAACAGCAGGAATAAAGGTAGATAAAACACCAATTAACAACATTAGATAGGCAAACAATACTATCATGATAGAAGACAACCTCCAAGAATTCCAAAAGCTAATATACAAGATAGTAAAGTGTAAAGAAGATATAAAAGGATTTTTTTGACTTGTTTCATATTTTCGTTACTAGAGCAACTTACTATCGTACTTATGCTGTAGAGTAGACTAGACCATTGGCTGCTGAGTATCTAGCGATACTCCAAAACAGTCGCAAGTTCATGAAATATACTTTACTCAAAATGATTTGAGTAAAATGAAAATTTACTGCCAACTTAAGAACAATATATAATATATAAATTCAGAAATAACAATGTAATAGTGTGGATGAAATATTTTAGTTTTGAATTAAACTATCTACACAAAAAATAAAATATCTTAAAAATATTAAAAATGGTGTTTATTATGAAAGATGAAGACCCGGATCAAAAATCAAAGCTCATGGAACCTGTACACCAAAAACAGCAGGAAAGAAGAAAGAAAACACTTTTTAGATAATGTAGAGTTATATCTACAGGTACTGGGAATAATTACATGAAAAAATTGCTCCTGCATAGGAGCTGAAGCTATAAAAAAACGAAGGAAAGAGGGTTATAAAGGATGAACATCAATATCGAAGAGTCTGTGAGGCATAAGAACAAATGGACAAAAATAGAAAAATTCTAAACACATCAAAAATTTTCATTCATCGGAACAACAGCTCGTATGAATTTGCGTATATTCCATCTCTATCGTCTCGAAGCTTCATTCAATTCCTTGTAATAGACCCAATTCGGTAGATGAGAGTCCTTTTGAGAATTACAATGTGCCGCCCTACTATTGATCATGAAGAAAGACGTGTTATGGGTTGAACCAAATTTGTGTTTATCTAACACCTTATAATTACATGAGGCCGCTGCGGTGTGAAACGAATTAGGGACCGTCATTAGGAAATTGTGTTTTTTTACTTTTTGGGAGTTCTTATAGTACCAAATGTTTTGACCAAAAACATAAGATGCTTGCACGAAATATACAGGGTGGTAATATTGCATTATTTGACTCGTAATGAACACTGTCCAAATTCGTTACGTTATTTGTTAGAGTAGGTTTAGTTTCTTTTAATATAATATGCTAGTTCTTAGTAGAATTAGAAGATAATCAAAATTGGAACCATCAGCTTCTATTTTCATAAAATGTGTTGTCATCAAAGGTCAGTCATATCTGGTGTTTATTTTGTTCTTTGGGCCAATATGTGGATTTTCCATTTAAGTGGCATTTCCAATTTATATTTTCTACTGCTACAAGTTTTCCACCTTTTTGATTGGTTAACCTTGTTTTTGTTTAGACACTTATACTGGTATTTTAAATAGCTTCAGTCTCTATCCTTTGCCTTTTTAAGAGAGGGTATTTTTAGACTATTACCTCTGTTGCTATTCTTCTCCTTCTTCAGCCTTAAGTAATCTAACTTTTGACATAGGGCTTTCCCAAATCAATCCAGTGTTTTATATTTTGCATCACTTGCTTCCAGTTGTATGCTCGGATCTTTTTGATGTCTTATTTGTGGTCTTCCTATGCATCTCTTTCCTAACCATGGTCTCCATTGTTGTATTTTGTTGTCTCCATTGTGTCCTGCGAAGCTCTTTATGACTTTAATATTTTATCCATATTAGACTTGGTGAGTGTTCACGTCTGTGAACCATACGTAAGTATAGGGAGGAATAGCTGTTGCTATTGCTAAAATATATTTTATTGCTACATATAAAAACAATTTTGTTTCGAGAAGGACATTTTTTGTTGACAAACTATTTATTGACAAACTATAAGTTCGCGATAAGTATCATAAGTTAACCAAATAAGTATTTTTTGGCTTTAAAATCATATTTATAAAGATTTAATGCTTTTGGTAAAACGTTGTTTTTATTGACAGGAATGTGTAGTAATTAATATATTCGTATATATAGTCCATGGAAGACAAGTTATAAGGACGAATATGTTTCTAACATAAAAAGGTAGACGTTTTCAGTAGCTAGTACAGGCTATAACGTATGAGACTGGATGACTTGTTCAAAAAACACTTCACTTGACCAAAAAACACTTAACAAGAAACATTCAAACATTGCAGTGATCTGTCCAACTATTTTTTTAATCTTGTCGAAAATATTTGAGACAAGATGGTAAAAAACTTCCTTGATAGATAGACCAGAAAGATTTAAAATAGCGACCAAGACAAGAGGCATATCGAAGCAGAGTATGAGTCACGACCACCGACTAGACGGACGAATGATATAAAGATAATCATCACACATTGGATGCAAAAAGCTGAAGATAGAAATAGAACATTTTACGGGGAGTCTACATTCCGTAGTGGTTAATATAGACTAATTGATGAATTAGTTTGTTTAGTTCTAAGATAGCTTTACAAGAAACATTATTTAGTAGCTTACCCGTACTTAAACCCAAACTCTTTGGGTTTTGATGACTCTGAAACTTTTTTGGGTTAATATTTTCCTGTATTTGTACCATCACTTCTTTAGGTATCTTGAAAAGTTAATCAGAGTCTTCCCATCTTTGTTTATCCTATTGGTCACCAAATACTTAATGATAAGCTGTAGGAATTTAAACATGAAACTTTTAGTTCTCCTAAAAAGCAAGAAGCAGTCTTATAAACGTACAAATCTTGCATGTAGTTTATGTAAAACTACTGTACATTATTTTTTAAAGACCATTTAAAATCTAATTTCTTAACATTTTTATTGATTCAATTTGTTATCAAAATTTTAATGTTTCTTTATTTGTTTCAGAGAGCCCATGGATAGTCTCTTTATGGACCAGCACTTCTTGAGATCCTCCCTTCGTCTTTATTCAGGCGATTCCATGGACTCCGAAAACAATAACGCAAGCTCATTTTTCTCCGCGGCGATGGTTGAAAAAGCTCGCGCGCAGCTGCAGATGTGGGGTCGCGCAGGATCTGCGTACAACTCCAGCGAGCTCCACGCGTTCCTGCTTAACAGCGCCCACATGCCAAACCAACAAATGTTCTTCGGACAACGACAGTCTATACCTCTAGGAATCCCAACTCATCTTTGGAACCAGGGAGGAAGTACATCTTGGCAAAGTCCTATGCACGGTGGGCTACCAGCAGGTTTACTTGGACCCCCTTCCCAACATAGACCTCAAATAACTCCCCCACCTGCCTCCACTCCAAGTTCCTCGGGCTCTCCTTCACCTACTTCCATTAGTACTTCCACTGATCTGAAGCTACCCAAGGCTGTTTTTCCCACCGCTTTCCATCATCGGTTCAGTCCATACTCTTCGTTATCGAGGCCAATGGCGCCTTCGGTAAGTCCCCCTTCTAGATCTAGCAATTGATTTTAGCAATAATATTAGTATTGGAATCATGAAAGTTGTTTATAAAAACAAAATAGTTAATAGATTTTTTATACTTTTATGAAATTGAATTATACACTTCTTTTAATAACAATTGTGGTAATTGCTGATAGGAAAACCTAAATAAAAATTTAATAACTTTATAGGTACCTAAACTTTTGGTACATTTGAAATATTTTCTCTATTGGTTTATTGTCGATTATTAGTTTCGACCATACAGGGTATTTACCATTACATGTCGTAACTTTTGTGTTGGTTAGAAAGATTTTGAAATTTTAGTGTCTATTTGTTCTATCTGCGTCTTTTATAAAAACGATACCGGAACCTACCGTAGCAAGTTCTAAGGAAGCTGTCTTACTCTGCGGAAAATTCGTAGGTCGTAGTTCGTAGGTCGTAGGACATAGCTTGTAGGTCACTGGTTGATGGCACTAAGACCTATTTGCGCCAAAGACAGCCCATAGCGGAGGTTGCCAGCTCCCTGCATCATCAATTTTTATTTTAAAGATTATGAAGGAATATCTGTTTTAGGCATTGCTTGGTTTTATTTCTTTTGTCATTTATGACAATATTTATCTTGGTATTTGATGCTTTCTGTATAAGCGATGACTTCTATATAACGTATGAGGTCAGCAGAATGTGAGTATGAATATATACGTTCAATCTACAACCTGCTGGTTTCTCCCTTTCGCCTTGGATTTTTATATTATGACAGCAAGAAAAGAAGCAAGAAGACTGTATAAAACTCTATTTAAAGCGAGTAAAATCAAACAGGTATACATATATTTAATTCTAACAGATCATTAATATCTAGAAATTAATTGCTACGACGTGACAAAGATCTGCACCAGTATTTATTTATAACCAAAAATGAGTTACAAACGACAGTAATAGAAAGTTTAAGTATGACACAACTACTAATACAACAGATCAACCATCACAGGTCGTCAGTAGATTTATCCTCAGGTATATAAGAACATAGAACGCAATGGAATAAGTACCTGCGCCTAGAGAGGTGTAAAAAATGCAATAATAAATCGAGGAATTTGAGGATCTGGCAATTGACTGTATACATTAAATATTAAATGTTAAATTTATCTTCTTTTTTAATTTTAATCGCTATCTTCATTATCACAAAGGCTTTCTTCGGATAGATGAACCAGTATTAATAAAAAATTGTAAGTGGCTCAGTGTAGAGTCTAATAAATGTTTACATTTTTATGTTAAACATTGTATTATGAGTGGCCACTCTACCTTTTACCAAAGCCCATATTTTTTCGATAGGGTTTAACTTCGGATGATAGGGAGGCAAGTGAAGTACTTTATGTCCATGTTGTTCAAGCTCATAATCTAATACATAAACTAGTGGCAAACGTGGTTTATTGGCTTGTATAATTTTATATAATTCCGGTTAAATTGGTTTCTAAGATTTTCCACTTTGATCTGCCAAGTGGTATGGTAGAGTATGGCTGCTGCGTCTAGGCTTCTAACTAGGCTGTCCCGCAGGTAGGACACGACTTTGTCGCAGCAGATCAGGAACAAAATTAATTAGTTGAATCCAGAACTATCGGTGGCGGCGATTCTCAGCGCTGGTAATATAGGTGACAGCGCCAATATCGCTTTACTTAAGCAATTGTGATACGTTTTTCAAATTTGAATTGTACTGCATAAAAGTACGTTGTTGAAATAGTTTCTATGTATTATTTAATTAAAATTTATTAACAAGTTACTGCAACAATATTTTCCTAGCAATAAAAGATTTCTATTGCTCCTATAAGATAATTACATTATTGATACATTAGATTGTTTCATTCTACTTAGTCGCTGTAGTTATTTGTTCTTTGATCTTTTTGTCTTTAGATTTCCTATATGTTTTACGATCATATTAGTAATATTATAATTTATCAATGGTAGAATTTTATTAAAAATTATTTTAAATATTTATACATTCAAAGGATCATAAATCTTAAGTGTGGTGTCTGTAGGTTGTTATTAAATAGAAATTAATGAACATTTTAATGTTGTTATAAAAGATGTCACACTTTGTGTAAAATAGTCTGGCTTACTGTAAATCTTAAGTTATCCGATAAATTATACAAGACTTAAGTTGATGTACATCCCATTGTTACTAATATTTTTGTGTATAATACAATACGAATATTTGCTTATGAAAAATCTATTGACTATAATTTTAACTAGAGAGATGGCAAATACTTAACCAAAGAGTCATATACGACGTTAAAGATGTATTATAAACCATTGTAAATAATTACTTTTTAGATTTATGTAACTTAATTAACGAGGCGCAGTGTAAAAGGGTGTTTCAAAAGACATTTAACTAACGATTATAACAGGGCTTCCCAAACTTCTCCCTCAACAGCACCCCTAATAATACTTACCAATTTTAGTACTAGCCTAGTAACAGGATATAGCTATAACAAAAACACTATTTAAACATTTACATTTTTTATTAGAAATTAAGAACGAAATCAAAACATAGGCACAAAAGTGAAAATGGATATTTATTTATTTATGTAACTGGCTGGTTAATGTGAGGGATGTGCTTGCTTTTTTAAGCACATCTTAGGAAAACGGGGCGCCAGTATGGAAATTGTCACTCTCATTTCTTTTTCTAATTTTATGTTTGACCTGTATTGTTTTAATTCAACGCTGGAATCACAGGACAATTCTCTGAATTATTCTTTTTCCTATGTTGAAAGTGTCGATGACGTCAATGACAGAAAAAGGTTTCTGACCCAGTCATATTGCTCCATGTCTTTGGGAAAATGTTTCTCTAAAGTGTTCGCTCAATGATAACATGTGTTGTGTAAACATATTTTTTTAAAGAGAGATCAAGGATTTCTATCGATTTTTCTTGTAAAATACCTTGTAAAGCAAGGAAACAGTCAATTTCTTGATCTTCTAATTGTCTCTTTCATAAGAGCAAAATCTTCTGAAACCCAGTAATTGTATCTGCCAATTGCAGGATAAGAGTATTGTTTCCCTGCAAAGACTTATTAAGATCATTTAAGTTCTTAAATATAATATATAACAATACATATCAACCGTTGCAGGGAAGATCAGTTCTTGGCTTATGTAAATGACTGAGTTGATTCCAAATTCTCTTTAAGTTTATTAGGAAGCGTACTTTCAGCCGCCAACAGCTTGTGACAAACAACACATTTTGGACGTTCTACATTTTCTTTAGTATTGCAGGTAAATCCAAAATTCAAATATTGGTCGTCATATTTTCTATATTTTTTCTTTTTACTTAAATTAATATTACTACTCTCGCCTGATTTTTCACTTCGTTTTATATTCTTTTAGATTTAACTTATATTAGTGTTGCTAATATCCTGATAATTATCCTATTTTCGGATAATTTCGTGAACCATTGAATAGTTTTCAGATTGAACAATTTTTTGGAAAATTCAAGGGTATATACACTTGTTATATTTTTTTATTTGATTTATTTATTCATACATATATTTTATACTTTTTTAAAATCAAATAAATATATTGTCTGTATTAAAAGTTCGCGCTGACACGCGACGCCCTTGGACAACGCAGCGCGCCCCAGGGCGTCGCGACGCACGGTTTGGGAAGCCCTGGATTAGAACAACGTTGGTTTACCATGTTTTAGCCATCAATATTGCGTAGTATCTGTAGTAGGTATTAAAGATATTCTAGTTCAACAGCTATTTAAAAATGTGATACTTAGAAAACACTTTACATAGAAAAATATTAACAAGAAATAAACCAACCCTTATTTGGTCCTTCATTCAGGAAAGTTAATGTGTAATCTAAACCAGTAGTTTGATTTTTAAAGCTTGATTCTGTATTTGAGCTGGTGAGAATCAGAGTAGTGTAAGTCAGTTTTTAATCAATTTAAAAGTTTTAAGTGTTAGACGCTGTACAAAAAAATCCCCCTATAGTTTAAAGCAAAAGATATTGCTTTTTTGTTATCACAAATTGTTACTTTTTTTATTAATATAGGTTTTATATGGTTTACCATAAAAAAATAAAAAAGGCTTAAATGAATTATACCACTACCGTCCTAAACACAAATCGGAATTGAATAAAATAACTGACTTACTTTGTTGAAGATTAAATTTTATTGCTTAAAAATTGACTTTTACAAGTTAATACAGGTTACAGAAACAGTTTAAAAAATTTAGTCTTACACTTCCTAAACTTTTTTAATCCACAGTTTCATCTTTTTCAGCGCTTTGAGGTTCAACATACGGAAGTGGGCCAATCTCCTCCTCTTCTTCATTGTTTGCAGCAGTTGCTATATTTTGAAAAAACCCATGGTGGACTGGAGGAATTAACTGTAGGAGGTCAATCATATCCTGTTTCTTCTGATCGCTTACAGGTCTCATTCTTAAGTAGAATTTTTACTTTAAAGAACATTTTTCAACTGGGCCTTCCCTTCCGTCCTGTTAGAGTGATATCTATGGTGTCGAACTGTACCATGTCTTGAATTGTCTCTTTATACTAAATTCTGTAGCGTTTAGACTTTTCATACCTTATCCACTGCATTTTTAGCCAGTTTACTGATATTTTCGTTGAATTTTTTTTTTCTTCCTTCCAGTATGCTTGTTGAAAAGAATTCATTATTGCCCATCTCACAAACAATAAATTTCTTTTTTCTCCGGCAGGTAGTCATAATTTCCTTTCAGTCACTGGGTATATAGATTGCCTTTCCTTTGCAGCTAGTTCTACAGAACCAAAATCCGAATCATTCGGTAGGAATGAATGTCCAGAAACTAAAAACTTCTGATCAATTACTTCGATGTCTGTTGCATCGCTTTGTAGAAATATTGTTAGTGCTAAAGCCATTTTAATGTTTCGGTTTTGACTTTTACAAGTATCGCTGTAAATTATAACATGTTTCTTGTTTGGAGCATTTATCATACTTTACTCTATCAAATCCTCCAAAAGATTGGCTTCGATCTACATTTATCGCCCTACCAAAAACACCA